TGTGTTTTTTGATATATCAAATACATTTCAGGTCGGGGCGGTGGGGTAGTCTAGTGGTTAAAGCGTTGGCTCGTCACGCCGAAGACCCGGGTTCGAATCCCCACATGGGTACAATGAGTGAAGCCCATTTCTGGTGTCCCCCGCCGTGATATTGCTGGAATATTGCTACAAACGGCGTAAAACCAAACTCAGTCAGTCAGTCATTTCAGGTCAATATCGCGATGACCCGAAACGATAATCTGTCATTGAAGGAAACGTGTCTTTTGAGTTTATGCCTTCAGAGGTAACAAACACCACGTTTTGTATTATACACAAAACACGAGACTGAACTTAAGACGTAGGTCATGACACTTTTCAGATGACTGGAAGAATAAAGTGTTTGTTACAAGAGCGGAATTGAGGAAACTTTATAGAGGAATACTCTACCTAAATGACAGATTAGTGGAAACGTTACGCTTTGTCATCCCACCATTTACCGAAGAAAAAATTAATGCGTAATAAGATTTTTTTTCATGAATCCATGACAGTTTGATACAACTGGGACGTAAAGGTCATTTACGTGAGCCCACTCAAAGACGAGGCCCAGTCTCTCTGTCGATCGTCTTCATGTAAACAAGTGTAGGGCCACATAAAGCGAGGTGAGAATATTTTCACCACATGAACTAACTTTGGTTGCAAAGGCTGTTTGGTTGGTTTGCGTGGCCCTGTTTCCGAGCAGCATATCATGCATGCATCAACACATGTGCAAAATACTTACAGTCTGTTCTGAAGTAGATGTTAACCAGTTCTGACTGATTTTAGCCATATCGTTACTAAAACAAGTAATAATTCTAGAATACATAAAGGTAAATGTTTTAGAAACTTGTCAACGAAGGCCAGTAAAAAACAAATAGAATACCACAGATATGGAACTCTAAAACAGCTTAACTACAGAAGACAATACAATAATATTATAAAAACAGGCTACACTAGGGACCGTGGGGACCTAACTTGTTAGTTACAATACAGTATAGATTCACAAAAGTTATTTGATTCAACTAGTTCAATACGTTACGGCAGAACAGTTCAGTATACTCATCTGCAACAAAGCGATTCAAAGCATATATTTGATATACCGAGAGGTTTAGAGTCGTAGGCAACAAGTGGCGGAATCATCTTGCATACACTATGATAGCCGCATTTACTCAATTTTCAGGATGTTCACAGTGGAAATGTGACAGTTTTAAACTAGACTTTACTTAAGCAAAAGCCGGAAGATGTTCTAATCTAAGTAATTACTCGTATTTTCTCAGCTTAAGCTTTGTAATGGACAAAGGTAAGCAACTCTGATTTGAGTACGAAAGCCTATCATATGTCTGCTTGATGTTTTTGATGAAGTAAATTCATTTTAACTTAATAGTAAACGAATTCAGTTAGCAGTAAACGGTCTAGTTCTGAATACTTAGCTATGTTCGTGAAGCAGTAATCTAGTTCATTAATGTCTACATCTTGCAGACACGTTTGTCACTATTTACAATTAATGTTCATCCTTGAAAGTTCTTAATTCAGTTGTGTTACTCTGAATTTACATGTTAATATTTCATCAGTAAATGGAAATCAGGGGCAACACTTATTGACTTTAGACTGAATTTTGAACATTGTCTTTCCCTTGCACCACAATGGTAATTTCATCTGTATAAGTAACTATGCATTGTGTAATATTAACACATTCTCTTTAAAGTAAAGGTAACGCAAAACTCTCTCTGTTGTTCGGAAACAAAGTGAACATTAAGGAAAGGTAAGTATTATATGTAAGATATTTAAGGGTGGTATTCACTCAAGTGTGAAAATTACGTGGCGTGATTTAATCTGCCACACCGGGACACTGAATGATCAGATCAATCATCTGCGATCAGCTAATCGGAGTTTTTTCTTAATAACTCGACCATCTCTAAGACAATACAACAATATCTATATATCACGAATGATATAAACCAAGCTTCCATTCATCTGAATATTCCGAAGATATGTGAAGCTACATCAGTGAACCAGTTTTATCATATACTAGGGGCTATCAAACGTTTTGAGACTAAAATACTTATGATATTATATGCATAACAAAACTAACTGTATGATATTGAAGAATGGTTTCCGGTCACGTGGCATTTAATCACACGTACCCTATCGAAACGGCGAATGTCCCTCGTATCATTGAAATCTGGAAAAGGTAGCATGGAAATTTGAACTGAATCAGGGAAGAGCTGGATGTCTAAAAGACATAAAACACATCCCTTGCATAAGTTAAACGGGGGAAAAGTGCCTCAAAGTATCACCATAGCGAACACATGATGTTACACTTGTATACGCTGATGTACCAAGGGCAATTTAAATGCTTGACAGCATGTTGGGCCTTTAGTTTCATTCAGGCTTTCCTGCATTTTCAAAACATACTGAAATCATTGTCAAGTTATCAGTTTATTGATATTCATTAAACTAATCTTTCACGTGTTTCAATGAAAATTTAATAATTTTATGCTGAGATATGTATGTTTTAATCGTCAATATTAACTAAAAAGAGGTTCAATAAAACAGATCATGAACTGTATTTGATTATACGAGAAAATATAGTTGCGGATGTTGCGGTCCTTTGGTTGGTTCCGTACAGTCCTGGAACTGATTGAACGTAAGCCAGGAATGGTCGTGAGCCCTCTCCACATCCTCAATACTCAACTTGTTCTGGTTGTTTGTTGTAGAAAATGCGACTCCGCTATGGCAGCCGAAAGTTTACATTTTTGTTTGTTTGTTGTTTGACAGAAGCTACAAAAGCCTTTACACACATGAATGACAGTATATAATATCTTCGCACTGAATGAAAGAACAACACTGAACAGTATCTCGCTGTTGTGACTATAGATCCTCACTCACTTATTCACTGTCTATTTCGCAGGGTTGTGTCTACGGAAAGTGTGGCAAGCACTGTATGTTTACGTAATAATTAATATAAATGGTTTAAACAATCCAGCCAGCATTGTGCTTCTCGTCCAAGATGATCAAAAATAGATCATACTTAGGAAAAAGATTATGTTTTTATGTCTCCGGGGATAGCTTATCTGACCCTTAGGAAGTGCTGAGTGGCAAAACCCCACCCACCCCACCCACCCCTTTCAATTGCCCCCCAGAGCACGTGCCATACTTGCCATACCTCAGGTACGCCACTTGTGTTGTGCATTAATGCTGCCTGTCGTGGGTCCTCAAGGGGCTTATCAGTGCATGACGACGTCCCAATGTGTCAGTTTCATGTACACATGGGAAGACGTGTGATTTATTTTCGCAACGAACACTAATGCTATGTGAAGTATGTTCAAACAAAATCACCAACAGGCAATCATACAGATAACCCCCGTAACTAGTTCTGTTTACTGACAACCAAAACTTCGACCTTGAACTCGGCCTCGTTTCATGCATACACCCTCAAAGAGGGTTAAAGTGTTGTAAAATTATTGTCCTCCTGAGAGGGTACGTAAGTCCCCAAACTTTAAGGTTAATCTAGCTCTACCAAACTTTTAATCGTAGAATATTTGTTACTTTTAATAATGGCTAAAACGCAGCACAATCGCCAGCGGCTGACGGAATGATATAAATCCATCTAGGGTCCATGCAGGTAGCAAAAGTACTGTAAGTCCTCATGGACCCTAGTATGGGGATCTACCTTTAGTTGTTAGTGATCTATAACCCGTTTTGATTTTGTACTGTTTATAGTGATTTAATTTTACGATATCGTACTAGTTTTAAATTAATATCTGTGATACTCTAATATTTTTACTGTTCTTCGATGACATTTTTTACGTTCTAGATTTATTGATTTTAATGTTGCTATAAACTGAATTGTTCTCGTCACGATATGGCTGAAACATTGCCGATGTGGCGCTAAATATTAACTCACTCATACATGCATACGCATTTACGTGCGCCGGTATTATGAAATATGCCTCTCGTGTTAACCACGGCCGATATCAGCACAACAATATCCCTGCTGTCTCGCCAGCGAGGGTCTAACAGGAAGTAATGTCGGGTAGTGAGGCGCGGTGAGGCAGTATCTCCACACGTCGACGTGTGTACATAGAATGAATGAGGGGCGGTGGGGTAGCCTAGTGGTTAAAGCGTTGGTTCGTCACGCCGAAGACCCTGGTTCGATTCCCCACATGGGCACAAAGTGTTAAGCCCATTTCTGGTGTCCCCCGCTGTGATATTGCTGGAATATTGCTAAAAGCGGCGTACAACTAAACTCAGTCAGTCAGAATGAATGAATTTGGTGACTGGTGCGTAAGGGACTATGGTTTTACCCCGCTTCGATGAATATTCCAGCAATATCACTGCGGGGGACACCAGGAATAGGCATCACACATTGTACACGTGTACAGTTGTCCCTGGAGTGAACTGCGTTGCGATACTGACGACACTGACAATATAGATGAACTGTCATTCAGCATTTAAGCGCTTTATATGCTACAATGGGTGAGTGAGTGAGTGAGTTAAGATTTCAAGTCACATCGGCAATATTGCAGCCATAGCGTGATTAAAAACAAGTTATAATGTTACAATAAATAAAGGTAAATTATAAAAACCTGTCAGCGAATGACTGTAAAACAACTACTTGATCACAGATTTCAATTTATAACTAGTAATTAACGCTAAAACATTTTACCTATAGATGACAATACAATATAAATACAGGCTATATATTGCCCACAACTGAAGGTAGATCACAATTCTAGGGACCTTGGATACACTACAGTGTGATTGTCAGGTATCAGGTCCACAGTGGGAGTGGTATCTGGTATTTCGTTCATTGTCTCAATGCATATTTTAAGATAAAACAACTTATACCCATGAAAGTTAAAAATGTACTTACCTGCTGCGAGACTGAGACTTGTTACCCACAACACAACACTGGTCCACACCGCCATTGTGTCACACAGATCCTTTATTTGTCAAATAAAATGTACTTCACAATAAACAGATATACATAGGAACGTTATTTTCTTCCTGGTCTGGGCGGCAGTGTGTCACAATGGCGCTGTGGGCCTGTGTTGTGTTGTGGGTGGCCAGTCTCTGTCTTGCAGCAGGTAAGTACAGTTTTAACTTCCATGGGCCTCGGTATAATTTTATCTTTAATTGTTTATTGAGACAACACGTTAAAATATGGTACTTGTTGGCCCCTGTCTGGGTGGGCTAGCACTATAAACCAGCTTCAGTCTGGGCTAGTAAAAGCAGGCGCACATACACATATACGCGCATGCACGTCGTCATATGAGCGAAATATTCTCCTGCACGACGTTAAACCCAATTTCACAAATTAAATTTGACAAACGATAGACAATAAGAACAAGGTATATCCTACATTGTCAAATTATAATTATGTCATATTTTACACCCTTCTCTGCTCGAATCAGTGACTCGTAAATCAAGAAATGTAACTTGAGTAGATTATGTTTAGAACTGAATACAAAATTATACCAATGAAGTATTAAAAGGTGGTATCTCGTCCAACTGGGCTTACATGCTGCATGGCGGTTTATATTGTCAGGGTCGGGGTGTCACTAACGCAGGCGTTGTTGACTAAGCTGTAGACGAGATACTCATACGTTAAGCAGCTATCGTCCACAGTTAAACTCAAAACTATTTATTCCATGTACACACGTCGGTGTTTGGCGACACTGGCTCGCCGCGCCTCGCTACCCGACATTACTTCCTGCTTGGCTTTCACTGGCTAGTCGTTATTGTGTCACAGCCGTGGTATATACCCATAGGGGTGTTCACAATACCGTCACACGTGAATACCTCTGTGTGAAATAGGTCGAGTTGAATGTTTTGTTATCACTTTACAGAACTCTTCACTGAGGTTTGTTGTAGAAACTGACTGTTATTGATTTCCACACTGCTGTTGAAAGAAGAACTATGCGCATGTCACTGTTTCCCAGTTACGTTAGTGTTCAAACTGGTAAAACTTGTTTGTCTGCCTTTCCTTTCAAAGTGCAAGTGACATATCAGTTTTACCTGCGGCTGTGTTATTGCTGAAATATTGCTAACAGAGACGTATCACTCACTCACTACAATAGGAGTCGAGAGGATCCCCAGTTGCTAATTTCAAGGGTCATTGCAGGAAATACAAGTTTCAACGATGTAGATTTGTGTACTGTAAGATTTGATGAATTTGTTATTACATACGTTTTCGTTTCTTTTCAATAATCAGGTATAGTTAGTCATATTCATAATTTTATAATTTCGTGCTTTCAAGTTTACACAGATTCCCGAACGTTGGTTGGTTAAGAGAGCGGTCATGTGATCTAAATTTCAAGGTTCATTACTCTTGAACCCCTCTAATCGTTCATACTTGTGTGAACGTTTTTCGCTTCGGTTTCAAGGACCCCCAATAATTGGTGATACCAATTTCGCGAACGAACCTGTTTCAAGTCACCCCAAGTTTGGCAATGTCACTACCAAACGGGTTGCCGAACATTGTTCCTTTTTCACGAGAGTTTAATGTCTCGCAGTTTGCGGGTTCATCCGGCGGTTTTCTGCCCCGAGGTCTGTCTAACAACTGCTCAATAAATTTCACAATAAACAATCACAAATAAATAGAATACAACAAGATCTGTTTCCTATTCGCCACGCCGCACAACTTCAAAGTCGGTCAGTGTATTATTACGCGGTCAAACAAGGTATTTACAAGTGAAAAGGTACAATGCCAGTTTGTTAAAATGGTATTGTTATTGCTTCTGATATTTGTTTCTGTTTGATACTGTTATTGATTATACTTATTGAAGCACTTTTAAACCTCATAACGAATTTGTTGTTATATTTTAAAGATCGAATACTATTTCTTCAAGTGTTGGGATACATGTGTAAAAAAAAATCGCTGTGTATTCAAACATCGCTGCAATACGTACGTTCTTGAACCGAATGGCATTACAACATTTTACAGGTATTAAAACACACTAAACAATGATCATCTACAAGGGGGTGGAAAACGTATGTGTAAACTTCAAAGTGCGAAATTATAAGAATTGAATGTCAATTTGTGTGTTTGCACTGAAAAATGAACGATGTCAAAGCGTTGTTCAAACTCTGGCGTGAACTCGCTCGTAAACTCGCTCGTTCACATGAGTTTGAACACCGCTTTGACATCGTTCATTTTTCAGTGCAAACACACAAACTGACATTCAATTCTTAAATGACTACATAATTTGTTTCTATTTCTTTTCAATACTTAGGTATAATTAATCTTATTAGGCAAACCTTATTGGTCGCAATGCATATTTTTTGCTTCCAGTCTATACATATGTGCTATTAGATGCATCACTTAAAACAACAATTACTTTTGATAAAAAGATATCAGGACTTGGGTGTTTGGTGTAAGGTGACATTGTACGCTGGGTGGACAGATATATACAACAAACAAAATATACCATCATGAACATGTTCGCATTAAATTATGGAAATGTAGGCTGTCAAAGATAAAGATGAGCCTTTACCGCGCGTAAACTGACATGTATATTCAGTTCCTTGTAGACAAGCGTTACGCTAGGCTGTTGCCTACAGACGAAACACCGAGCGTAGGATTTTGTTGAATATACTTCTAGAAGCATTAGAGTTCGGTGGGAAAATATGTCACGCGATCTTCCCATGTGTCTTTAATTGGGACGTCGTCATGCAATCCAATATGTCGCCAGGCGTACCCATAGGTATAATATCTGATGCCTATTTCTGGAGTTCCCGCCGTGATATTGTTGGAACAAGTGCTTAGCGTAGAAACCCATAAACTGACGCAGTCGTAGAGTTGTTATGCATTTCCGAATATCACATTAATAAAATGTTAAATTAAACCATAGTAACAAGACTGTGATCGGAAGACAAAATTCGTCAAACATATAAGATTGAGGTCAAACGAAACTTTACCGTAGTTTGAAATAACTACAAAAATAGATGTATGAAGTAAAATCTAGCGAAAAGATCTCAACGAAAACATCATTTAAATTGACAGTCATTATTGCAACCGACATTCACAGAACAGTTTCCCGAATTGAGCACAAAATATTTTTATATGTAAAGGACAATGGGAATACACGTTTAAACTCGCTCATGCGCATTGGCACGTCACATTAACAACGTATATGACCACCAACTGCAAAGACCCTCCCTGATGACGTCAGATGATGATGATGATGATGATGTGTCGCCATGCGTGTTGGATGTCCTGGGGGATGTAGTCGAGCAAGACAACCCATAACACCCAGAGGTGTTCTGTGGCTGAAATGTCTGGAAGGCAGGCCAATGCAACACATTGACGCTGTTGTCTCAAAGTGACCGTACGATATGTCTCGCCTTAGAAAAGCTGGCTAAGGCGCAAGGCTAGTGATCCAGCGAGGTTGAGGTGTCGGGATCCAGCCCACCTGTGACCTTGGAGTCAAGTGTGTGTGCAGATTTTTTCAGTGTTGTCACAACCCCCAGTGTACAGTACACAACCCTGTGCACTTAAAAGGACCCACGAATCCGGTGGTATATGACCAGGTGGTGGCCACATGAATACGTGCAAACACCTAGTTGCGGATACATATGATGCATTGCTCAAAGGTCTAATGATTATAAGATGTGTTATAAGATAAGGTCTGCAGTTAATATATATGATGTGTTGCCCAGTGGTCTGTAAAAATAACAGATTGGATGTGTTGGGCAATGGGCTGTGATTATAGCAGATAGGATGTGTTGCCCAATGGGCTGTGATTATAGTAGATAGGATGTGTTGCCCAATGGGCTGTGATTATAGCAGATAGGATGTGTTGCCCAATGGGCTGTGATTATAACAGATAGGATGTGTTGCCCAATGGGCTGTGATTTTGGCAGATAGGATGTGTTGCCCACATGGGCTGTGATTATAGCAGATAGGATGTGTTGCCCAATGGGCTGTGATTATAGCAGATAGGATGTGCCCGGTGGTGAACACAATACATCCTATTCATCTAAACACAGACCTTTAGACAACACATCCTAGGTGTATACAATGGAATTTAGTAGCGAAAGCTTGATTGTTTTATTAATGACCTGCCAGTAATATGACAAAGTGGTCGAGCTAAACACATTCTTGACGTTGTATCATGATATGATATGTTATGGGTGTTCACTTATCTTGATATCTAGAAAGAAACTACTAAAAACTGTTGGTACCTTTTGACTTCCAGTGCATCTGCTGATGAACAGTAGTTCCACCTTTACATTTTAGTACCTTCTCACAGATACTACATCTGAATCCTGAAAAAGTAAAGGAAGAAAATGTATCTTTCTGACATGGAATAGAGGCGTCTTAAGTTCTCATTTGCTGAATTTACTGTGTATGAAGAACACCAAAACATTAATGCAAATTTGTAAACAATTACGTGATCATTTGATAACAACCCATTTTAACACCTGATACAATTATGTAAAACAAATTTAATTGATTTTAATTTGTATACTCTGTATTGAGAGAAGCCAATATTTTCTCTTCATGGGTCTGGTTGGAATTGTGTGCACTACGAAACACGACACGCATCAGCTCTCTATGAAACTGGTAAGATATGAGTAGATAATAACCTAAAAGTGAAAATGATATCTCTATAAAAGACATGATTATTGCAGGGATTAATTTGTTGAATTGCAAATGTTTGGACATCAATAAAGTGCAAAAGTCAATAGAAAAGCTTAAAAATTTTGAAAATTACCCTATTGATATATGAAAAGAGCAAATTCTGCCAGTTTTAAAAAATTCTACATTTTCTGTAAAGTTTTACATGATCACAACCACAATATGGAACTGCTTGTTATGAGAGAAAATAGTTTCTCTTTTAATTTTTCATATATGTCATCAAAGACAGACTATCTGTATATAAGGCTATTCCATGTCTATCAATTAATCTCTTATTGGCCATTTTGAAATTCTTGTTACATTTATCAATAGTAAATGATCATGTATTGAGATAATACCTAAAACATGTCTTGCTGCACACAGCACTGATGCACACACTGCCATTCAAGATAACTGTTCTAATATTGAGAAGGCTTAAACAATTTGCAAAGATTCATGAGGCAT